CGCTTGGTTCTGTTTGTTACAAATAGTCTTTCTCAGAAGCACAACCCTAGTGTCAATTCTTTTTAAATAAGGACATTCTGGGGCTTTTTCAAATATATTTTAAAAGAATTGTTTATGTTCTTCTATGTTGCTCTGTTTATGAAAGTTGGGAGGATTGTAACCAAAGGTAACCAGGCAAGGAATGAATATCTGCTTATTTCCAAATTATGACAATTTGGTAATTAATTTTGGCAGATATTTATGCCAGAAGAGAGACCAGAAACATTTGGAACTGCTGCTTAAAACTCACTCATTTCTGACGATAATACCAGACTCAAAATCAAAGCAACACATCCATTGTATCTCTTACTTGTAAGATGGTGGTTTTTTTTTTCCCCCTAGACTGTTCTATTTGGATCTCATCGCCGATAACTAGAACAGTCTTCTCTGACCTTTCTCTTTTACACCTTTGTTTCAGTTTGAAAAATTATTCCAGATTCTGAAGAGTCTTGGGTCATAGTCATATACTGAGAGGCCACTGGATGTGCCCTTGGCTCAAGGTTTCTAGACTCTACAGTTGCAAGAAAATCTTACATTTACCTGAAAACTCTCTTTCCCTGTAGCATAATGGCATGATCAGTTACATTCCTGGTACTTCATTCTTATTTCTGTTTTTTAAAGGGTCTTTCACTAGGACTCAGTGTCCCTCCTTGCACTACCCTCTTCTCCACAACACTTGTCGTTTGCTGTCATGGCTGGTCCTTTGTTGTTGTTAGTTGCTCAGATTCAGTGACTCTATCTCTGTTAGTATCTAAATCATAACAATATAACAATGTAACTGTGCCTGAATCATTGAATTCTTTAATCTTGGAACCAACTATTTTTCTGTGACAGAGATCAACAGGCTTTTATTTCCTTTACACTTTGAAAGAATATTTAACAACACCTTTGAAAGAGGCTTAAGGGTGACTCTGAAGTCATTCTAAGCGACATCATCTCTCAACTTTTTCTTACTAAGTTTGTTTCTCAAAGGTTGAGAAGGAAGAAGTCAATGAAGAGAAGTGAAAGAAACCTTACCCAGATACGTGATCAACCCCTCCTAGGAAATGAAAAGTCTGTCAGGGGTATGTAGTTTCCATAGAGTGGATGGGTGATCTAGGTCAAATTTTCCAGGGTGAAGTTTTCATACAAGTCAGAATCCAAAACATTAATAGAATTAGGCCGTATTAGATCTCTCTCTTCCCCTTAATCTCTCATGCTTATTAGGAAAAAAACAAAACAAAACACTATAGATAACACTATACTTTTATTCATGCTCTATTTCCTTTCCCTGCCCTCCTCTCTCCCACTTCCCACCTTGAAAATAATAACAAAGGCCCAGATCCCAATCTACTCTATATTTTCTGGCCAAATCTCTCTGGAGAAAACATAATGATGAGTGGGTGTTGATGTCTCCCAGGTCCTATGGACATCTACAAACAGAGGACAGCTGAAGTCTGGCAGCGGTCACTCTACTTGGTCCTGGGGAAAGCATCAACAGGCAAGTTCCCAGGCAATTTTATGTCTATCACACCATATCAAAGTGGGGAAGGAAGTGACTGGAGATGCTCCAAATGACCTTGTTCTCCAGGTCAGACGTGAGTTTTGTGTTTGGTTTGGTTTCGCTTTTAAGCTAGGCAGTGCATAGAGACAAATTCACTTTGTGTGAGCTGTTGAGTGCTTTCTGGAGTGAAGGAGTGCTTAAAATGAAGTACTGAAATGACCAATAAGCTGGAAATAGAGAAATCTGTGTTCCAGTATTAATTGGGCCTCAATGCCCTAATCTGTAAAATGGGGTAGTGGAACGAGATAATCTCTAGAGGGGTTGGTAAAATCATGGAAAGCATATCTAATGGGTTTCAGGTTCAAATGCCTTGAATTGTATGTAAAAGTGTGTATATATGTGTGTGTGAGTGTATGTGGTTTCATTTAAGGGGTCACAAACCCCAAAACACTAAGAACCATTGTATTTCAAATGCTAATTTTTTGTTTTTGTTATTGTTTCTTTTTTTTTTTTTTCATTGAAGTCACTTCAGTTGGCTCTTCAAGATACCCAGGTCATAATTTTTTTGAATGTGTTCCGAATAACAATAAAAGAACACATATGTCCTTTTCAGCACTACTCACTTTAAAATCCTTTAATGTATGTTCAAAAAATTGCCCTAGACATTAATTCTGAAGTACTCTAATCTAGAAAATCATCTGCTGTAATTTTTTGTATAGATTCTGAATAGTTTTAGATACAAAAAACAGGGTTTATCATGAAAGCAATTGACTAATGATCTTACAGCCTCAAGTTTGTGAGAGCATGCAAACCCAGATTAGAAATAGTGTTTATAAAAATAACTAAAATGACCACAAAAATGATTTCTTACAAGTTTGAAATTGTCAGTTATACGTAGCATACAAAGTCTTCAGAATAAGTTGCTTAAAATCATCTATATGAGACCAAGTGGTCAACATTTACCCTGAAGCAAAGATGAGAAGGTAAGTGGTGGGGAGGAGCAGGGAAGCTAGATTAATGGAAATGGAACAACTAGAATGGAAATAAAGAGAATGTTGACACATTGTGAAAAATGTAACAAATGTCACTGAACAACAGGTATAGACATTGTTAACTGTGAACCTAATTTGCTGTGTAAACTTTCACACAAAACACAATAAAATATAATAAAATGAGTATGTTGCTTCGTAGTCGTAAATAAAATAGTCCTTTTCGGAGAATAAAACGTGTAACTGTTTCTCCTCTTCCCTCCAAGAATTAGTGATCTATATTCTTATGATGATTTTAGAGTCAGAGTAATGTTCACAGTCAGATATTTTGATTATGAGGGCTCTATTTTTAGGATTTAAAAAAATTTTTCTCTGGTCTTCAATTTTTTTCTGCAACTGAAAGATAAAGATGGTAAACCATGTCCTCAAAGATTCCTCCCTCCTCTGTGACACTATGCCTATGGCTGGGATTCCAAATGCCATGTTCTCAATACAGCCATCCTGGATCTTAACGTGGGCAAGGTGGTGCTTTCATATTACCAACTTTCTAGTTCTTTTGTTAATTCAGAGCAAGTTTTTCTGACTTGTCCCCAGTTCACCCAATGCTCCTAAAATCTAAATACATTGGTAAATTAGAGAGCTTTACTTTGAATACATTTTTCCTTTCTTTATAAGGGGTATAACTTTCACAATGTGTGTTTCATTTTCCTATGATTTTAAGAAGGCAGATTTCACTGGGGCCATGAAAGAACTCCCAGATTTATCTAGATTATGTAGAAACCATCATCACAGCTGGCTGAAAAGTAAAAGCTTGGTTCAGTGATTTGGCCTGGTTGCCAGGGTTTCCCAGGCATTAAGAAGAGCTGAGAGGTAAGTTCCTCACGTTCCGAAGCGGCAATAAAGCTTAGATTCACTATAGTCCCATTGAGCACATTGTTCCATAATGCTATGTACACAATATGAGAAAGTTGATTCTCCTTCTAACAGGACACCATGTATAACCTAAGATACAGCATCTCTGAGCTGTTGTCAATTTTAAAGTCTCTCCTTCCATGTTGGTTGGTTACATGCCCACTGTTTTCTTTTTTCTTAATTCTTTCTGATGTCGTAACTGTTTTGTAAAGGTGTGATCAGTTCTGTTTGGCTATCTTAACACTGAGGAGTTGCATGATGTTTTCCCCTAAGGTGAGCAGAGCACCTTTAGCGAGGACTGTCATTTATACTATCTTAGCTGTAGTAATTCTAGACTCCACACCACATGAAAGGTGGGGTCAGCACGCAGGGGACAATGTAAAGGCTAAGAGATTGTATCAGTCCCCACTTGTAGACACAGAAGCACTTGGTAATTTAGAATCACAGAATTCCACAAAAGGCAACCTCTTATAATAGAAAATAACTTACAATGTCATTTTGTGCAAACCCATCACTGCCTAGTTTTATAGATGGGAAAAGAAGATGACAGAAGGTCAACAGATATTTTCACATAACTTAGGTAATTGTAAAATCACCACTTTCTTCATCTTAGTCCAATATTCTCATTTACATATAGAGCTATGGAGAACGAAGCTGGCTAAAACTGCGCTTTGTGCAGTGTCTCTCCATGATAAAAAGTTTCTGTTATTATTTGTCTAAATGTTATCTTACACCTAAATTATTTTTAAAAAATCGATTAAAAAGCAAAGTTAAAAGTAGCAGACTGCTACTTTATTTTCTTGTTATTAACCACAGTCCTAATTGGCAGTTGATAAGTTGCTTCAGTAGAAATTAAAATAATTATTTTGCTAATATTCAAGCAGATGGAAAATACTTGGAATATCTGAATTTTGTACTTAAAATAGATGCTTAAAATGTGATATAGTCTAGGTTGTTAAGGACGTTTTGTTCAATACTTCTCGAGCTGCACTCTTTGGTTTGTCTTCTCCTTAGAAAGCAAGTACATGGTAGTTTTCTCAACTCTCCAATAGCTGACTCCTAGTCAATGTCAAAATACAAATTTTAACAACTTCCTCTAAAGACATAGTAACTTTAGAGAGATGTAGCATGCCTTTTCAACTATTAAAAAAAAGGTCAATTTTGGTGCCACATTACATAAAGACACAGTTTTAGGGGCAGAACAGAAATGGACTACACCAAGATAGCTACTTGAGAAAATGAGCAGGATATAATCTAATATCTTTAATTTTATGTACATGAATATAATGTATGTCAACTTTGTACAGGAGATACATACAGTATTTAAACATTTTACTCAACAAATAAGAATTTACAATAGCAATATAACTGACTAGGGGGCTGTCCACTTAATAATACTTAGATTAGATCTGTACTTTAACAGGAAGAATTTAATAGTTTACAATCATAGAAACACTGACATTTAAAACAAGACTTTATAAAATAATTTATATATATATCCTAGCATCTATAGAGAGGAATGATTTGCATTTGTGGATGTGTGCAATGAATGGCATATTTTAAATCTTTAGGTAATAAAATAATTTAGAAGCAGTTCATGCAGTGGCAAAGCAAGGGGTGGCAGTTCCTTCGAGATGCCCTCCACCTTTGACATCAACGGGGCATCAGACGCATACTAGGTACCATTTTGACACATTAGGCCAAGTCTCCTCCAATAATTACTTACATAAACATAAATATACACAAGTTGGTATCTTTCCTTACACAGTACAAATGCAGGTCACAACTTCTGTCAGCTGTGGGAGTAGTCAGTTTATACTTAAAGTGATTTAGCGTCCCTCCTGGAGTTCTACGTATATCTCTATCCAAGGTAACTAACAGAATTTCCTGGTTTTCACGACTTTACTCTGATACTTCACAGAATGCCCCCCATGTCCTATGACATAAACATCCAGCAGGTAAGATTTGCCAGGCTGAAGACCTTTGATTGTTTCTGTGGTCACTGCTTTTTGTAGGTTTTGACTGTGGAAATACTTACAGAGGATCTTTTCTGATTTCTTCCGCGTATCTGGTCCTAGGCATTGGTTTTGTTCTCTTTTCTTCTGGTCTTCATTGTAGTTATCATCCACTTCTTTCTTGTAGATGCAAAACTTGTTCCTTTCCTGAGTGCCTAGCCAAGCCACGGTGGCCGAAGAACAGGTGCGGAGCTTGTCGAAGGCTTTGATTCTTGTATCTTCCGGAAGAGAAGGGAACGACTGCTTACTTGGCCTTGTGGTAGCTAGAATTTTCAACATGGATGCTCCTTTCTTGTTTCCCTTTAGTCTGATGAGATACTTTGCTTTAGGTTTTCCTCTCAGTTGAAACTGCCGAATGCCTTCCACACTGTGAGACACAAGCAGCTTCCCATCTCGTCTCACTTGGATTTGGACAACATCTAGGCAAGAGTGAATAAAAAAGGTGACTTTTTGGTGAGAAGAGACTGGAGCAAATCGCAGAAACTTTGCACCCTTCCTTTTCACAAATACATCTGTAACTTTCCCATCTTTAAGCTCAACTGTCTTCTGCTTAGCTTCTTCCTTGGTCCTGGCAAAGGTACCGACATAAGCGGTGCTCATGTTGCTGTTGCTGTTGACCACAAAGACGTCAAAGTAGTATTGGGTGTCAGGTTTCAGGTCAGAGACAGTGAAGATGTTCTTGTTTCCAATGCAGATTTTCTGAGTGTCAACCTTGGGCCTCGAGTAGACATGACGCCCCAGTTTTGGAGAAGGCTTTGCTGGGAAGCCACGTTCTTTACCCAAATTATATGAAGGAAATCCAAAGTGGGTAAAGTCAAAGGGGCTGAAGTGCAGACCAGGTTTTGGCGCCACCATAAAAGCATCATCTGCACTCAGCTTGGCTCCCACTGCACAGAGACTTTTAAAATTGTGCTCTTTGTTGGTGACCACACAGTACTGAATGGGTTGTTTCAGCAAAGAGGAGGTGGGGCTCGGTTTCCAGGCCAAAGTGACTGTGGTGCGTCCTAGGGAGGTGACATCTACTCTTGGATCATAAGGCAATTCAGGATATGGTTGATCCGACTCTGGAGTTGTAGTGGCATACACTTTGAAATGTGTATCTTTCTCTGTTGAAATAAGCTCCAACTGATATAAACCAGATGGAGAACTAGAAGATCTAAAATACTCAACATCATTGCCTTTGTAGGAGAATAACTCCGTGCCTTCCTCACTAATGCTCTGTTGCTTCTGCTGCTCAAGAGGTTCTGGATCACCTGGAAGACACAAGAGAAGCACGGGTGACATGTGAGGCATATATACCGGGGCTCACCAGCCTTAAACTGTTTTTACGATTATCTTATTTTTTCTCCATTGTGAAAATAATACCCGTTCATTGTATAAAACTGGGAAACAGAGAAAAATAACAAGATAAAAAATCACCCATTAGTTCATTATACAGAGCCCACCACCACCACCAGTTGCTTTTGAGTTGATTCCGACTCATAATGACCCCCTGTGTGTCAGAGTAGAGCTGTGCTCCGTAGGGTTTTTGATGGCTGATTTTTCACTGCCAGGCCTTTTTTCCAAGGCGCGTCTGGGTGGATTCTAACTGCCAGCCTTTCAGTTAGCAGTCGAGTGTTTAATCGTTTGTCCCATCCAAGGGACTCCTGTACAGAGACAGCTCTTTGTATAAATATTCTGGTTTATTTACATATTTTTCTGCGATTTATATTATTCTCTCTCGTTCCTCATTGTTAACTTAAATGAATATATGTATTTAGACAAACTCCCATTTTTGAATACTGTTTTTCTCAATATTATAATACAACAATAATATTATGGGTCAATTTTTCACTATTATAAAAAATAATACTCTAATATATGTGTAAAGCTTTGCATTCAAAATACTTCTTCAGGATAGAGTCTAAGTAGTGGGATTTTTAGGTCCAAGGATTGCTGCTTGCTAGCATCTTTTGCATGGGATCAGTTGTCAAGCCTTCACCTTAAAGCTATAATGCCCTCATTCCCTAAAGACAGCAGCATCACTCCAAGGCCTTATACACACTCTCATCATTACCCTTGTATCTTGTTATTTGCTTCCCACAACCTGTATCTTCTTTAAATGCCTAACCCATTCCTGTTACTGATTTTCTCCTCACCCCGGTCTTTTCACTGCTGCTCAATGCCCCTCTGCTCTTCTCTTTGTTTCTACCCTTTATTCCCCATAGATGAGAGGTTCTTAACCTTGGGTGCATATTAGAATCACTGGCGGAGGTTGGAAAAGTCCCAGTGCCCACACTGCACCCCCCAGCAATTAAATCAGAATCTCTAAGGGTGGGATCCAGGCATCAGTACCATTTAAAGCCCCATAGGTAATTCCAATGCTCAGGCAAGATTGCAAACCACAAGCATAAAGGCTATTCCAAACCTCTCCCTTTCTCCTCAATCCTTTAGTAGTCCCCATACTTGTCTCTCCTACTCTTTTATTTTACTAAGATCACTGTCATCTAAGCCATTCTCCATTTCCCTCAAAATCTCCAGCTTCACCTGTGCATCTCTGCTGCTTTTTATTACTCACAGAAGGTTGCATGTTTCATAAGACTATTGACCATCTATTCAGAGGTCTGGGGCCAGATTTATCCTGCTTCTTACCTGAACCTTCCCCACTAGCCTCCTCTGGCAGCTCCTGGAGGCTCAGTTTCCATTCTAAAGGTGCATCACAGGGAGTCACCGTGACTGATAATGGAGTATTGTCTTCTTCAACCACAAAGAAATACCTGCGGGAAAGTGGACCAATTCAGACCAGCACGATTCACTGCAACACTTAGAATCAAGACGTACTATATAAATCATTTGGTTTTAATTTTTTATTCATTTAACAGAGAACCAAACTGGCTATTCGACACACATCTTGGCATTTAAGCATTAGCTGTGGAAGTTCAATAGCCCAAGGTCCTGCAGCCAAATTTACCATCAACATAGTGCGAAATAATAAAAAGGCATTGAACCAAAAGTATTTTGAGTTAGAAATCAACACATACCTGAGTTTTGGTGTTATTTAACACAGGTCATGCCATTGCAAAGTAAGCCACAAACCCAGCCAAATTTCCAGGTTTGCTGCCCTACACTTATCATTATTTTCCCTTAAATTTGGTGATATTTGTAAGGTACCTCTGAGGGCACTGTGACGTAGTCACCAACTATTTCAAATTGTCATTTTCACAGCAAACTAGTCCTAAAATGCTTGTTGGTCTCCAGCAAAATAACACCATATTCACATTTTTACATTGAGAAATATTACTGCAAGACTACTGGTGACTTACTCACAGCTTTACTCTTTTACGTATTTTTGGAAAAAGGTATCTACTCACTATTTCAGAAATATTTTGAAAAACTAAAGATCACTGTATCAGTCAGTGGGAAGATATAGTTCTCTACCCTTTCTCTGTCACTAAGATTTTCTGTTGAATTAAATAACTTAATGATTTTAAGAAATCCCTGCATGAAGCAAACAGTTAAGCGCTTGACTGCTAGCCAAAAGGTTGGCAGTTTGAACACACACACAGGTGCCTTGGAAGACAGGCCCAGTGATCTGCTTCCAAAAGGTCATGGCCTTGAAAACCCTATGCAGAAGTTCTACTCAGCACATATGGGGTCACGGTGAATCGTAATCAACTCCGTGGCAACTAACAACAGCAACGACTTTAAAACAAAATTAAAAAAATCAAAACATGTTTGCTCTGTTTTCCCTTCAGACTTTTTTTTATTATGCCTCAAAAGATTTTTTAAGTTGAAAAAAATATTGCCTAACTATAACAATGTTGTATATTCTTACTCTGAATGACTTAAATGATTTCCTTTAATTATCTTTCAAAGTCTATAATCTTGCAAACGAAGAAACAATGATTTCAGTTCTGGCAAGCCTGGAGTTGCTCACTAGTTTCATGGCAAAAAGTAGGTAGGTTTGACTTCTTGTAGATTCAGCCTTCTGAGTAACTCTTGCCTCTCTGCTGTCTGCATGTCTGTCACCGCCATGCTCTTCAAACCGACCATCACAGCCTTTGCTGGTTTCTTCTCACTTCTCCAACCTCTAACCCCTGCAGTGAGCCAGGGGCTGTGCTTGGATGTCTCTTTTCTACCTACACTCACTACCTGGGTGATCTCACCAAGCTCATGGCTTCAACCCCCCTGTCTGTTAATAACTCCCAAATTCAAATCATCAGCTTGAACTCATGCCTAAATTCCAGATGCATATGTCAAACTATCTTCTTACCATCCTTACTCGGACATTAAGGGGAATTCAAACTTAAGATATCCAATCCAAACTTCCGATTGTCTGCCCGGAAATCAGCTTCTTCTGCAGTTTATCCCTTCTTAGTAAATGATGTCTCCCCACTTCCAGTTGCTCATTGTGATGGTTAGTGTTATGTGTCACCTTGGCTAAGCTATGATTCTCAGTGGTTTGGCAGATACTGGACTGGTTGCTCTTCCACAATGTACTATGATGTAATTCCCTTCCATGATGTGATCAGTCAATTAGTTGAAAGGGGAGTTTCCTTGGGGATGTGGCCTGCCTCCAGTATATAAATGGATGTTCTGGCAGAGCTCCTTCTCTCTTGACTCTGCACTCTACTTGTTGCCTGACCTCCAGTTCCTGGGATGTAAGCCTGCAGAAGTCTCCAGCCTGCTATGTGACCTGCAGATTTTGGATTCACCAGCCCCTGCAATCCCATGAGCCAGCAGAGGTCTTCAGTCTGCTGCCTGAACTACAGATTTGGGACGTGCCAGCCCCTATGATTGCATGAGCCAAACATTTAGAGACATTCTTGACTTTTTCTTTCTCTTCTACTCCACAT